ACATACATTGGAAGATTCTTCGAATATTCTTCTAGAATATTCTCTAAAGATTCCTTTAGAAGATTCTTAGAATATTCCCTAAAGATTCTCTTAGAAGGTTCTAGAATATTCTGATAGATTCTAGGAAGTTGCTCGAGAAGTTTCCTAATTAGTAGAAGTTGTTGGAGAAGCGTCCTAGTTAGCGGAAGTAGCTCGAGAAGCTTCCTATTCAGTAGTATATATAGGAGTCGAGGCTGAAGAGTTCTTCAGTCTCGACAACACATCTCTTGGAGTTCTAACTCACCTTTCTGGTGTTGTTCTTGTACTCATCTGTTTAATCTAGTTCTGCCACTTCTTCTTGAACTTCTTGTTAGATTTCAAGTCTGTATTTTGTGTCCGTGACAGGTATTGAAGATTAACAGTTTGGGTTGTTCGGGGTTCTCTGTAACGTCTAGAGACCTATCGGCTGGGGCAAAAAAAAGACTTCGACAAGCAGTCGAAGAGCATCCGTATAGAATTACGGTACATTGTTGCAGTCGTTTATATTCCAGCAGTCAAAAACTGATAGACTGCTTGACTATCGGCGAATCTCCATACTACCTTCTACAACCAGACGCCCAGCGCGTTCTCGAGCAGGAAAGCACGTAATACGACACCGTATACATGATGATTAAGTTAGAAGCACCTTTTGAATAATAGCACTATTCTTAAAATGAATCCATGATTGCAAGAAGTTCTTTGTTGTGGATCTCGTAGTTAATCTTGACTGCTGAAAATTTTGTGGAATAAAAAGCTATTGGATGAAGTTTATCATCTATTTCCATTTGTGATAATACGGCACCCAAAGCAAAGTCTGATGCATCTATTTCCATAAAAAAATGGCTTAGAAAAATTGACGCAATACAAGATTGTTGCAAAAACAAAGGTTGTTTTCAAAGCTTCAAATGGTACTTCTGCTTCTTGATTCTATTGAAGTTTGTCTTTATAAGTCAAACATGTAAGTGGAGCTGCAACTTGAGAGAAGTCTTTGATGAAAATCCGATAGTAGTTGGCAAATCCCAAAAAACATTGGACATCTCTTACCATTTTTGGGACCTTTCAATCCATAATAGTTTGAACTTTCTTAGGATCCATTATAAGTCCATCATTTAAAATGATGTATCTTAAGAAATTGACTTAAGTAGTGTAAAATACACACTTTTCTATCTTGGCATAGAGTCTCGCATCTCTTAGTTTTTGTAACATATAACGAACATGAAGTTCATATTTTTCTGTGTTCTTAAAATAGATTAAGATGTCATCTAAGTAAGAGACAACAAAATCATCTAAAAACTTCCAAAAGACATCATTCATTAGATGTTGGAATGCTGCTGGTACATTTATAAGTCCAAAAGGCATGACATTGTATTTGAAATGTCCATATCTTGTTCGAAACGCAATCTTTTATTCATCTCTTTTTTTAATGCGTATCAGATTGTATGTTTCTTGTAGATCTATTTTTATATAGATCTTAATTTGATTCAACTAATCAAGGAGTTCAGATATCAAAGATAGTAGATACTTGTTCTTGATGGTGATTTTGTTGAGTCCTTGATAATTAACACACATCCGCAATGATCCATCTTTTTTCTTCACAAATAAAATTGGAACTCCTGCTAGAGATTTAAAATGGCGTATGAAGTTCTTGGCCAGATTTTCTTCAATATACTTCTTGAGTTCAGCCAACTCATTTTGTGATAAATTGTAGATTGGTCCAAATGGCTGTTGTGCTCCTTCTTAAAGGTCAATTAAGCAAACATACGAATGATGTTTCAAAAGAGTGTCTACATTTTTCTTCTCAAATACATCTTAAAAATCTTGATATTGGTTTGAAATGCCACTTAAAGTCTTTCCACGAGTAGAACTAGGTGTAGTATAATTGACACAAGGTGATCTTTCTTTTGTAGCATGCAAGAAAGTTCTTATATCTATAAATATAGGTTTAATTGTACTAGACTTATGACTTTCTACTTGATTAACTACGTTCTTAGTTATACTTTTAGAAAAGATAAGACTACGAGAAGTCCAATCTATTTTAGGATTATATTTTTTTAGCCATAATAAATCTAAAATAATTGGATTAAAGGGAGATCTAATGATATTAAATATTATAAAGCTACTATGACCATTAGTTGCTACTTCTATAGGAATAGTTTCATGCATAACATCTCCTGAAGACAACGGACGACTATCTATGACTTCTACATAAACAGGTTTAGTTTTCTTCACTAAAAGTATGCTATATCTTTTAACAAACTCTTCATCTAAAAAATATGCTGAGGCTCCTGAATCTAGCAAGGTAGAGGTTTTTTGATATTTGGGTCCTAAAATAATATTTATCGTAAAACATGGAGAGGGTTTTGAGGAGAGAATAGGACCTTTATTAGGTGTTGTACAAGGTTCCAACCACATGGTCTCTATTATAGCTAGACAAATTTGTTTTCTGAGATGCTATCTTTTTTGATCACCATACTCCTCATTTTAAGGTTGTGTTGCTTCTTTGGTCAATGTTGAGCAATGTGTTTAGATTCTCCACAATATAAGCATAATCTTTCTTGACAATGATAAGTCTTTTCTTACTTAGTAAGAGGTTTGAAACATACCACATCAATTTGCATATCCTCTACTTTCAAATGTATGTGTTGAAGAAATGTTGGTATTGCCATTGAATTATAATAATATTGAGGTCTACTTGTACGGTTATCAAATCAAAATTCAAAAAGATGATTGTCGCACTTCATAGCAAAGTCAATTGCTTGACTCAATGTTTGAAGATCAGGTAAGTTGAGCATTAATTTTTTTACCTCATATTATAATCCATAGAAAAATTGGCTAATAAGTGCAACATCATCTCACTTGATATCAGTTGCAAGTTATCAAAATTATGAAGCGTACAACGTTATTGATCAATTATCTTGTTGTAAATACGGATCTTGTTGGTTGCAACATGAATTGTATCATGTTTTCCATACATGGATCAAAACTCCACTAAAAAAGCCTCCAGATTATCAAATATTGGATCTCATCGTTCAAAAAAAGATGAAAACCATGATAATATTGAACTCGAAAGAAGCATATCAATGAATCTAACTTGCGATCTTGGAGTTGGATAGCTTTGGGATTGAAGTTCAATCACAAGTTATACTTGATTGATAAATCCTCTAAACTTTAATCTGGTGCCATCAAACTTCTCGGGTAGGGCCGTTCTAGGTTCTCTTATATTAGAAGGGCGTTCCACCATAAAAAAAGGAACATGATTTGGTGCAGATGTTGAAGCAACTCCAATCATTTCTATATCTTCACTTCCTGCCAATCTTGTTGCTTCTTGTGGTGGTAAATTGACTTGATGCATTGCAAGCATTAACTCCCTCAATTGCTCTTATATTTGTGCCATTGCACTCTTCATTTTAGCAAGTTTTGCCATGATAACACTTAGAAAAAAAATACCTAATATGACTTAAGACAAATAGAAGAGAGGAATTGAGAACAAAGAAAATACTAAAGACAATATTAGTTTAAAAGAGGATAATCCGTAACTTCTAATACGCTTATGTTTTACCAAAAGAAAGAGGTAATCCACTCTTAATCAAGAGTAGATAAATCTCTAATATTGTAACTATACTCTTGTCAATCTGTTAAGGACAAGAACTTGATAAAGACAAATAAACAAGTGAAACTTTTTTCAAAGAAAGATGACAAAATAGAAATAACTCAATATATATATATTAAAAAAGAAACTAAAATGGCTATTGCCAAAAGACAACAAAACTAGAGATCCTTGAAACTAGACTAGAAGTAAGAAAGGAGTTGACAAGAGTGAAGAAGACTTCACTCTTGTCTCTATATATACTATCTAACTAAGGGCTATATGGCAATGTTCTATAGGACCTCTAATATATGTTGACTTTGTAGGACACATGCCTTGACTTACAAGGCAAGTTTTTCTATGTGTGGGCCATATAGTTAGCTTGGTCTTCAAGCTAACAACATGTGTGGTACATGGTCAACTTATTGACCACGTTTCTAATCCAAAAAGTCAATTTAAAGCACCCATAAAGTCAAAGCAGCATCTATAAAGCTTCTAAGAAGCTTCTATAGCAAATATTATAGAATTAACTTACTTTTATCTATTTTTACTTACTTCTACCTATTTATACATGTAATTACTAGCTTACATGCGTATATCCGTAATAATATTGTATTATTATTTTTTTTCTTTGTATTTATAGAATTATAAATTTTTCTTATAAGTAGACTTCAATTACGATGTTGTTAATAGAATATTTATTCTTCAAAGCCACTTGTGCTTTGTTGGTTATTTTACAAGTTCTAAAATAAAAAAAAAATATGAGAAGGTCTACATAGTCCTAAAGGATTACAAGCATAATGTCATCTTTTTTTTTTCTCAGAAATAATGGCTACTTAATTTATTGGTGGTATAATGGTTATTACATTTAAATCTAAGACTGCCACTAATTATATTTTTGAGTCTTAAAATAGTCCTACATTTCTTTTATTTCAAACTTCATTTTTTAATTTTTGCCTCTAGATAATGTATTACAAGCTATCAAACTTTGGCCATTCTTTGGTGGTGAAGCTAAGAGTGACAATATTTATATTGTTATTTGCTTGCTTGATTGTAAGTGTAAGTATTCTATCTTTTTTTTTGTTTTATTTTTAACAAGTTTATTGTCTTTCTCACATTTTTGTTATGAAAATCTTAATATGAGTAGAATTGATACAACCTAATCTTTTCTAGATCTACATAGCATTTAGGTATGGCTTAATGACATGAGAAGAAATATTGGTAAAGAAGGGTTCATTGATGCCTTAGTTTTTGTACAAAACTCCATCAATACAACCCTCTTAATTTGAGAAGCTCTTTTCTTTTCTATTATGTCTCTCAAACTACTTTAATATGTTCTCAAAGTTGTGAAAATTTTGAAAAAAGAACAATTCATTGAGAGTTTTGTGAGGCTTAGTGAAACATATAGTACACAAGAGGTTGCAATTCAATAAGGATCACAACTATTTAGTGGAGCATGACTATAGTAAACATTGAATCTCTCTTCGTAAACTAGTTAGATAGAGATCAATTCTACACTAGAAGTCTATATTTATACTTTTAGCTAACATGAGATATAAAGTCTATATTCCAACAAAACAGGCTCAGATTTTGTCTATAACGACAAAACTCCATAAGCTCCCTCAATCCACTGAGGTGCAGGTGCTGACAGGCACGTTTCAGGACTCGGATGGTAAATCAATGCGTCTAGGACCACACTAGAAACGGCTGCGTACTATTCTTTAAAGGTCTGTGATAACTAGCATGGCCGGGGCACAGTGTTCAGCATAATCATATCATGTCAATAAGCTCGTGAGACTTGAAGGTTATCTCAAAGCTAACACTCGTGACAGGATGTGTATTCCACAAAGACAAGTGCAAGAGCCGCCTGAAAGAAATTGAGTCAGCTCTACTGAACGATCGTGGGCTTTTCCTCAAAGGAAGGCAGGTCGTCAGAGGGCATGATCAGCTTCCAGAACCAATGCCGCCGCCACACATAAATCATCTCCTCGATCGGAACTCCCTTCGTTTCCGGCAAAAACAATGCTATGAAGACAGTCATGATCACCACCCATCCTGCAAAGAACAGGAAGATCCCGTACTCGAAGTGACACAAAATCGTCAAGAACGCTTGCGCGATGACGAACGTGAAGAGAAGGTTCACGGAGACTGTGATGGCCATACCTGCAGAGCGTGTCTCGATGGGGAAGATCTCACTGGGGACTAGCCAACCCAGTGGGCCCCAGGACCACGCGAATGCGGCCACATATATGCACACCAATATTACAATGGCCATCGCCTCACCCTTAGACAGCTCGTTTGTTCCTCCAAACTTGAATGCCAAGATGATGCCGATGATCACCTGGCACAAGAGCATCTGCGTTCCCCCCCACAAGAACATGACGCGCCGACCCCACTTGTCCACCACACCCAACGATACCAGTGTCGCCACCACGTTTACGACACCTGTGATGACGGCTGAGTACAGGGACGCTTTCTGCCCAAATCCGATGGAATTGAACAGCACGGGGGCGTAGAACATGATGGCGTTGATACCAGTGACCTGCTGGAAAAAAGGAATGGAGATGGCCATCACCAGCTGCGGCCTGTTCCTCTTTTGCAGAAGATTTCGAAATGGATGCTGCACTCTCTGTGCAATCTCGCTGGCCTCCACTATGTCGTCATACTCGACATTCACGTCCTCAGTGCCACGGATCTTGGCTAAGATGTGGCGGCCTTGCTCAGTCTTGCCTCGCTCGATCAAGCTGTTGGGGGTTTCGGGGCAGTAGAGACCGCCCAGTGTGAGCAGGACCGCAGGTACGGCAGCCAAGCCCAGAGAGAGACGCCATCCCCAGGAGTGCAATTTGTCGGTGCCGTAGTTGATTATGTTAGCAGCGAGAATGCCGATGGTGGTTGCCAGCTGAAACATGATGTTGAGACCTCCCCTGAGCCTAGCAGGCGCCATCTCCGACAGATACAGGGGCACTGACTGCACATAAGATGATCAATTCATCATAATATACAGTGAGTACCTCATTGTAGTGCTGTACTTTATCCTGACAAATGCAGTAGATAACCTGTTTCTACTTCCTGTGATAAAGAGAATTTTGAAGGAGAGATGTTTATCGATGTTATGATTTGATAGGCATGGTTGTTCAGAGTTATCTTGGAGCTCAACAACGGTTAAAATTCAAGTAGTGATATTACCTTGTCCAGAGCCTAACTTCCTGTTCTCAGTGCAACAGTGAGTAAGAAGCTTAGAGTAACCTCGCGAACATTTTTGCTACAAGACCAGGGACGGAGATCCAGCTACCTGATTAGCAAACCCAACACCCGCACCCAGCAGCATGCGACCGATAATCAGCATGGCCAGATTCGTGGCCGCTGCGTTAAAGACGGATCCTGCCAAGAACGCCAGACCGGCAATGAGCATACTGGCTTTGCGTCCCAGCAACCGGGTGGTAAAGGAAGCGAAAATTGATGCCACGAGACCGGCCAAGTAAAGCGAGGACGTAAAGAGCTGCAAGCCCTGGTCATCATACTTGCAGTAGTGACTCTCTTTTAAGTTGCCAGAGTGCTTCCTCTCGTAGACGCGAGGGAAGAACTTCACTAGGAAGTCGTCCATGGCGGTCACACCCCCTGTTACAACATATCCAACACATGCCCACCATTGCTTTCAGCTCCGCATATAAAGACTCGATCATGGGATTAATGAAAACATTCGACAGTGTAGGAATTCCTTCCTTTCGCCTTCAAGGCATTAAAATCAACAACCTGAACATACGTCTACGGAGCTTCACATTCAGGTTCCTGTCGGTTTATCTCTACAGCTCGCCAGTTGGGATACTCCAGACCCCTCCAAATTATATGTTCTACTGAAGAAGTTTTGAACGTGTTGTTCGAAATCATCGAAGCAAGAATTGTACCTACCAGTTATACCGATGTCGTAACCGAAGAGAAGACCACCGCTGGCTGCAACGATGCAAGCCAGCACCACAAATACAGTGACCTTCCCTTCATACTCCGCTTTCCCTCCATTATAGCTTCCCACGCTACCTCCCGCCATCTCCCCTCAAATTGCTTCAACAATGCCCTTCCAGCTATAAAACGCAACCTGAGGTTGAAGTGCTGCCACAATCCAGAAACCATGAATCGCAACTATGATATCTCAATTTGATCATTGTTTCAGCTTCAGTCTTAAAATTGCGGAGGAGATTTCGCTGGAAGACCTCGTGAACACCCTGAACAGAGAACTTAATGCTGGAAGGTTGGAGAAGAGCTGATCACGACGGCTGATTGCAGATATGCAACTAATTCTCTTCTGAGACGAAGGCATGCATTCTTACACCATCGGAGAAAAAGAGCAAGAAAATGTTAGCATTAACGCATTAGTGGAGATCAGAGGATGTGCCCCCGAATTCTCTCGGAGTCAAAGGGCGAAAAAAAAACGACAGTTGCTGAAGCAGCTAAAGACCACGTTCCAACTAGGTCGGCATCCAAATCATCGCTCTCTGATCTCATGTCACCACGGCTCCATTAAACTACAGATCACCTCATGACACCATTCACCTCATGAGGTTGCTCTCTGATCTCATGTCACCACGGATCCATTAAACCATTCACCTCATGACTCATCGCTGCAACCTGGCGCCTGGATATTCTCGTAGCCCAACAGCCTCTGCAGTGTCACTCTTCGCTTAATCATTCGGCGCCAGTTGCGTAGCCTCGCCTATCAACTATCCTCACTATCCTCCCAGCCGACCGGCACTTGGACCTCGTAAGCAGCATCACATCAGAGGCCACAGAAAACTCGACACTACTGTCAAGACCACCGTCATGAACTCACCAAAAAACATCTTACAGCATCAAAACAAGCCTAGGAAAGAGCTTCTGGTACTTACAGGGACCCAACGAAGACAGTTCATGCAGCGATTGCCGTGCTTGGGCAAAGTCGCTGGCAGTGGGTGTCACACCCACGTTGCGACCACAAAATTCAGTGGAGGCTTTTAGACAACCTCGGACGTGTTTCACAAGACTTGTGAGGAGGTAGTGCTTTTATTGCAGTGAGAATGGTGAAGGTAGCCGGCAGCTCTCGTCATGCTCCGGCAGCACCTGGACACGCTCTGGGATCTGACACGGCGAGCCCGTTTGCGTCGCATTCCCGTGCTTGTTTGCTAGCTTGCTTGCTTGCAATACAATGCATGCCAGCACGAGGTCGTCGTCAGCCTGTACATTTGTGGAAGCTTTATCGTCGGCAAATTCACGATGCTTTCTGACTGACGCTCCGCCGACGTGGTGATTGTTGCTCAGCTCGAATAATTGTGATGGAGACTGGTTTTTTCTACCTTCTCAAGTGAGCGCGAGAGCATCTTCATTGGGTCCCTCAAGCCTCCTGCCTCAGTGAGTGGATGACTGAAGGAATGAATGAAGAAGGGATTGTTTAACTATAATACCTTTAGTTTTGTAGGACACCAAACATCAAAAATCCCGTTCACACCGACAGTCTCATTTTCATTGTGTGGGAAGTGGGAGACCCAAAGTCTAATGTGTTGATCCTAAGAGAATTTTTTATATTTTATAATATATATATATATATATATATATATATATATATGACTTTTTATTTAAATTCTTTTTCTTGTACTTAAAGAAACGTCTAAAACATGTTATATTATTTTTATAATTTGAGTAAATGAATTATATCTATTATTTCTCGGTTTAAAAATTATTGATAATTTATGACTAATAGATATTTTCTAAATCTTTTTTTTTGTAAAATAAAAGAAAAAAATATATTAAAAATAAATTTTATTTTAAAGAAAAATATGTGATTAAAATAAATATTATATTATCAAATAAAAAATTATTTAAGAATTAATATACAAAAGGGAAAAAATGTCTTACACAAAAGATTGATGTCTGCCACATTAATTATTATAACAACTTCTAAGCTAAATTGTATAGAGATTATAACCTAACATTATATTGTAACTTTCATTCATGATAAGAATGACCTAGAAAGAATATAGATATATATATATATATATAATCTTTAAAATAAATTTCTAATTATAATATTTTATAATAATATTAGTATATCATTAGGCATATTATACCAATTATTATTTTAAAAATTAGATTTTGGATTGGCAATGAAATTGGAGATTTAATCAAAAAATTAAAAGTTTTTGTATAACAAGATACTTGTGAAGATTATATAATTGATTTTTCTTGACTACAAAGTATTTTAAAGGTGACTAAGTATTAAAAATTAAGAATTTATAATACAAAATAAATTATACATATGAGGTGGGATTTATTGTACTTATTTATAATTCATGGAAAAAAAATTTGTTGCATTGCATGTTAAGTGTTAATGAATTATAATTAATCCATAATATTTGTATAATTTTTTTGAGGTAATTTATACTATTAGATATTAAGTTATATTTTAGTAGTATAATTGATTATAAAAAAAAAATAACTTGTTTTAGCCATAGAATTGTGACTAAAATAGTTATAAGATAGTTGGATGTTCAATTTATTATTCCTTTGTTATCTAATTTTTATTATATGTAATTTATTTAATTTATTTTTAATTACAATGCTAGGAGTATAAAATTATTAAATAGAAGTTATTTTTCTTATGATGTTTCATAAAAATAATATTAATTGTAGATTTTATCCAAGCTACAAAATTTTACATCCTTTCTTGATTACACCTATTTGTGGTTGACAAGGACTTAAGAAATACATAATTATAACCAATTTTAATATGGTTTTAAATTCAAATTAGATAAATATATAAATAAAATTACTTGTTTATAATATTTTGATCAATCTTTTATCTTGCAATATTGTAGTATACTTATAAGAACATATTGTTAAAATAAAAGTAAAAAATGTTACCTTGTATAGGATATTACCTTAGGTAAGTTACTAGTGGTCAAAGGTTTGACTCTTGGTACATAGTAAGAGCATCCAATGGATATAGGACGAAGTCATGGACCAAGAGTCAAAGTAAAAAGGATAAAATATTAACAAGAGAATATCCCAAGACTAAGTATGAGTCATTAGTATATGTCATAGGATACCCTTGTAGTTCGTGAGATGCCAAAGGATCCTAAGAGCATATGTGTAAGATGTAAGAGTAATTAGTATTGGACATAGGATACTCTTGGGACTCGTGAGATGCCAAAAGGATCCTAGGGCCATGTGTGTAAAAGTCAAAGAGTGAACGTTGTCATTTAAGGCAGCAACTACCACCTATAAGTAATGGGTGTTGGAAGTGAGAGATATCTTATTCCATACTCTCTTTGTGTGCAACCTTGCTAATGCTAAGTGTTGTGTCTTCTAAGTACTTGTTTTCTTAATAGGTTATGGGCCCACTCACCTTTATTTGTGAGTTTTGAAGTACTTTGAAGTCTTTTTTGTTGTAAGAAGTAGATCTTATGATTATTGCTGAAGTTTGAGTTTGTTATCTTCTAATCCTTCTTTTGCATCTAGTTGTTGATGTAATTTTGCTCTTATTTATTATTAAAGTGCACTCATAGTCTTTGTTGATGTAAGACTCCATATAATGATGTTTTAGAACTTTAGTATTATATTTCTTTGCTGAAATTTATCATCGATGTTCTAACTTTGTGGTTTCATGTACTTAACTTCTTAAGAGATTGTTCTATTTTCACAAGAAATATTTTTTGTGAGGTTAGAAGTATTTTGTGAGAAAAGAGGGGTGATTGAAGAGTGGCAAAGCTTATACAAGAGGTTCGGATAGAATGTAAGACTTGTGAGAAGTCTTACATGTGAAGTTGAGAGTGATACAAGAGTGAAATCACTTGTTTACTTACAAAGAGGGCATTCTAGGTTTCTAAGGCAGCAACACCTTCTTGTTGATTTTGAGAGTTCTATATCTTCTTTTCTTGATTTTCTTTCACACACCCCTTCCTTAGACATGGCTTCAAGTAAGGATAAAAGCTTGAGAGTGATTGAGAAGTTTAGGGGTGACAACTTTTACCATTGGAAGAAGAAAATTGAGCTTTTGTTGGCTTCATTGGACCTTTGGGACATTGTTGATGAAAGTGAAGACCCTCCAAGTGAAAATATTGATATCAAAGAGAAGAAGCAGTACAAACGTCGTGAAAGGAAGGCTTTTGGGATGATTGCAACAAACCTTGATGATGCCAACTTTCCACATATTATAGCTTGTAATGGACCAGCGGAAGCATAGAAGACTCTTTGCAACAACTATGAGAGTAGAAACCTTACCAACATCCTTTGGACAAAGAGGAAATTCTTGACAGTAAAGATGGAAGAAGGAGATGACTTCATGGCTCATGTTAACAAGGTAAAAGTACTTGCTAACCAATTAGCAGTTGTTAACAAACCAGTTGATGATAAGGACATTGTGTTGATATTGCTCATGAGCCTTCCCGAATCCTACAACTACCTCATTGTGGCATTGGAGTCCATCAACATGAAAGAGCTTACCATAAACTATATTACGTCAAGACTTGCCCATAAAGTGACCAAGAGGAAAGAAAAGGAGCTTACAAGTGATGATTCGGCTCTATTTTCAAGACAAGGCAAAGGTAGTTATTCTCACCAACGTGATAATTCAAAAAGCAATATGAGGAATTACTATATTTGTGGAAAATCAGGTCATTTTGCTAAAAATTGCTACGAGGCCAAGAAAGGAGATAGGGAGAATACAAACAATACTAGTGATAGTTTTGGTGGAGATGAGTATGCTTTCATAGCAAAGGAAGGAGCCTCCATGGCTACTATCTCAAAGTGGATTATAGATTCAGGTGCTACTAAGCACATGACACCATACAAGTGTTCATTTGACACTTATGAAGAAATTCCAGCAACAAAAGTGTAGTTGGGAGACAATGGCATGTTACAAGCCATTAGAATTGGCTCCATTGTAGTAGAGATTGTTGTGAAGGACCAAATGAAGAGGATCAGATTGAAAGAAGTCCTACATGTGCCAAAAATGAAGAAGAACCTCCTTTCGGTGAGCAAACTTGTATTACATGGTTGTGAGGTTCAATTTGACATGAATGGATGTTTTATCAAGACATTGGATGGCCAACATGTTGTCAAAGGCCTTAGAGATGGAAATCTCTACTTCATCAATTGCAAAAAGGTGAATGGACTTGAAGTGGCGGCATTTGCTGATTTTCCACAAGATCAAGACAAGTTTGGAATTTGGCATCAACGACTTGGTCATTTGAATGCCAAATGCATAAAGGAGCTCCAATCCATGGTAAGTGGCTTGGATCTTGGTCAATTCAGCCACAATGCCATGACACTTACTTGTGAAGGATATATACAAGGCAAACAACAAAGGGTTTCATTTCCAAGTGGAGTTGCAACATGTGCAACAAAATTAATGGAGATTGTGCACTTAGATGTTTGTAGACCAATGAAGAGACCATCAATTGGAGGAGCAAGGTACTTTGTTACATTCATTGATGATTTCTCAAGAAAGGTGTGGATTTACTTCATTAAAGCTAAGAGTGAATGTTTCTTAAAGTTTAAGGAATTTAAGGCTCTTGTAGAGAAATAATGTGAGTGCAAGATCAAAGTGTTAAGAACGGACAATGGAGGTGAATACATGTCAAAGCATTTTGATGACTTCATGAAGATTCCAGCTATTACAAGACAAACCTCTACTCTTTATACTCCACAACAAAATCGAGTTGTTGAAAGAACAAATTGTACCATTGTAGAGATGGCAAGGAGTATGCTTCATACACAAAATCTTGGGCATGAATATTGAGGGGAAGCTGTGGTAAATTCGGTGTACACAAGAAATAGGATGCACTTACATCAATGACTCCACAAGAAGCTTGGAGTGGGAAGAAACCTTGTATTTCACACATGAGGATTTTTGGATGCATTGCTTATGCAAAGGTATCAGATTTTATGAGGTCCAAATTTGATGCAAAAGGTACAAAATGTGTATTTGTTGGATATTGTGAAGGTACCAAAGCATATAGGCTAATGTGTTTAGAAACCAAGAAGATCATCAAAAGTCGTGATGTAGAGTTTTTGGAGCATAAGAGTGCTTTTGAGCACTTGGAAGAGTGTCCAAGTAGGAGTAAAGGTGTGTTTGTGGACACATCTTCAAGTTCATCAAAGAAAGAAGAAGAAGAAGAAGATGATGACAATGAAGATGGAGGAAATAGAAGTCAAGTTCAAGAGCCAAAGAAGGTAAATCATAGTGTGCCTTCAATTAGTAGAACCAACAATGAAGACAATGAAGATATTGAAGGTGATGATGATGAAGAATATCAACCTTTGAGTGAGAAAAGACAAGCATTGAGGAAGAAGAAGGATGGAATGCAACAAGAAGGGTCTTCTTCAAATGAAAGGAGATATCCTTTGAGAGAAAGAAAACCATGTAGTGAATGGTGGAAGGACCACATCTTTCCTCAAGTAAGTAAAGAACATGCCAATGTTGCACTTCTTGCTGATCCGTTGAGTTTATATGATGCAATGAAGTCCACGGATGCATTGAAGTGGGAGAATGCTATGGAAGAAGAATACAAATCACTCATGGACAATGGAACATGGGAATTGACTCAACTTCCATCAAATCGATCTTCAATTGGTTGTAAGTGGGTGTTTAGAACCAAAAGAGATGCAATGGGTAATATTGCGAGATATAATTCTAGATTGGTTGCCAAAGGCTACTCACAAGTTGTTGGTGTAGATTTCAATGAGATATTTGCTCCCGTGGCCAAATTCACTACTATTAGAACCATTGTGGCAATTGGAGCAGCAATGGATTTGGAAATGCATCAAATGGATGTGAAGATGGCTTTCTTGAATGGAAGTTTGAAAGAAGACATTTACATGGATCAACATCAAGGATTTGTTGAAGAAGGCAAACAACACCTTGTTTGTAAGTTGAAGAAATCCTTATATGGGCTAAAGCAATCACTAAGGGCATGGTACCAATGCATTGATACATTTTTTGTGAGTGAAGGATTTGTAAGGAGTGAGGCTGATCATTCCTTATATGTGGTGCAATCAAATGAGTTCATATTGATTGTCATCCTCTATGTTGATGATTTGATCATCTTAACCAATACATTGAAGATGATGGATTGGTTGAAGGCAAAGTTAGAAAAAGAGTATGAAATGAGTGATTTGAGAGAGCTTCACTATTGTTTAGGAATGGAGTTTGTAAGAGATCGTGCTAAGAAGACCATTACAATGAGCCAAAGCAAGTACATTGAAGAAGTATTGAAACAATTCAATATGGAGGAGTGTAAGCCTATTGGAACACCATTGGAGGCAAACTTGAAGTTGATGAAGCTCACGGATGAAGAGTTTGCTGAAGTTGAAGGTCAAATACAAGGTGTTCCATACAAGGCAGCAGTAGGCTCACTTATGTATGCAATGGTTGGCACAAAGGTGGATCTTGCATATGCGGTGAGTGTTGTGAGTCAACACATGTCAAAAGCTGGACCAATCCATTGGACAACCATCAAAATGATCATGAGGTACTTAAAAGGCACTTTGAACTTCAAATTATGCCTTGGAGGTGATAACATTAGTTTGCATGATTATTGTGATGCGGATTGGACTGGAGATGCAAATGATAGAAGGTCAACAACGGGATATGTATTCTTTGTTGGAGTGGGAGCAATTTCATGGAATTGAAAGAGACAACCAACAATTGCAAGGTCAACAATGGAGGCGGAGTATATGGCAGCAAGCCATGGTGCAATAGATGCAATATGGTTAAGACAACTTTTGGAAGACATTGGAGATGTGCAAATGGAAGTAACGCCAATAAAGTGTGACAATCAAGGATGTCTTGTATTTGCAAAGAATCCAAAGCATCATTCAAGGACCAAGTACATTAACATTCAACATCACTTTATAAGAGACAAAATTGAAATGGGAGTGATTGATATGAAGTATTGTGCAACGGAGGACATGCTTGCTGATTTGTTGACAAAGGCATTAGTAAAGTATAGACACCACATGTTGACAAAGGCATTAGGCTTAAAAGGCATTTGACCAATAGCAAAGTGGGAGTATTAAAGTAAAAGTAGAAAATATTACCTTGTATAGGATATTATCTTAGGTAAGTTGCTAGTGGTCAAAGGTTTTACTCTTGGTATATGGTAAGGGCATCCAATGGATACAAGACGAAGTCATGGACCAAGAGTCAAAGTCAAAAGGATAAAATATTAACAAGAGAATATTCTAAGACTAAATATGAGTCATTAGTGCGTGTCATAGGATACCCTCGTAGTTCATGAGATGCCAAAGGATCCTAAGAGCATGTGTGTAAGATGTAAGAGTAATTAGTATTGAACATAGGATACTCTTGGGACTCGTGAGATGCCAAAAGGATCCTAGGGTCATGTGTGTAAAAGTCAAAGAGTGGACGTTGTCTTTTAGGGCAGCAACTACCACCTATAAGTAAATGGTGTTAGAAGTGAGAGATATCTTACTCCATACTCTCTTTGTGTACAACCTTGCTGATGATAAGTGTTGTGTCTTCTAAGTACTTGTTTTCTTAATACATATTTGATCAATCTAGCAACTAGAGATATTATTATTATTATTATTTTGATATTCTAAATTTTAATTTAAAAAAACCACACATTTACACATTGTAGGTAATTTTTCATGTCAAAAAAATTTTGTAATTGACATGAAATTCTAAATTGACAATTTTTCATGTCAAAAATTTTTTTCATGTCAATGACATTTGAAATTTTTTTATGTCAAAATTTTTTTTCATGTCAATGACATTGAAATTTTTTCATGTCATTTTTTTTAATTAAGAATGTTGGATATGAATATCTTAAAGGTATATTATTGAAAGAAGAAAATAAAGAAGATTAAATTTTATTGTGTTAGTTTTCTATATATATATAAACTAAAAATTATATTAAATTTAAAAATTTAATAGTATTACAATTTTTTATTTTACAAAGTTTGGCTAAATTATCTAATCACATTTTAGATTTAAATTTTTTTGTAGAAATATTTATAACAATTAGTTAAGAAATTTTTAAAGTCTTAAACTTTAAATATAAGAATTTATACATAATATTTAAACTTGTGTACAATGAAATAGTAGTTTAAAATATTATGTTTATTTGAAATATTTTAGCATCATCAAAATTTATAGTATTTTTAAATAATATAATAATTTATAAAATAGCAACTATTTATACCTCTTTAAAGAACATAAAGAGGTAAATAATAATAAATTAATAAAAATAAAAAGTTTTATAATATAATATAAATATTACAGAGTAATTTTTATTTTATGCTTATAAGATTTCAAAATTAAGATTGTATTTTCTTAAAAAATTCATAGATATTTACAAATACAACTAAGATAAATATGAAAAGAAACTTCATAATCTTTTTATTAATACTTATCTTAAAGACATAGGATTTAAACACAAAAATAAAATTTACAAAGAACACAATAGATTTTAAAACCTACACTAAACATCAACAAGTGAAGATCTAAATAAAAAACAAAGATCAAGAAATAAACATTCAAATATAAAATAAATACTACCAAATAAACATATAGAGAGTTAACATAAAAATCAACAAGAGGATCCAAACCTAGAAAACAACCAACAAATAAACATCTAAATCTAGAAGGAAAAAAAAAAAAAAAAAAAAAAAAAAAAAATCTAAAATCTAAAATCTAAAATAACATAGAAACACCAAAATTTAAAACATCAAAAACTTACTACCAAACTCGAAACCTGGAACAACTTATAATACCAAAAACTAGAATTAAAATCAAAACTTTAAAACTACTTGGAATATCAAAAATCTAAACCTAAAAAAACTAGCATATCAAAACCTAGAATGTAGATCGAAGTCTAGAACAACTTATAATATCAAAACCTAGAAAGAAGAGCAGCCAGTGAAGATTCAAAACCCTAAAACCCACAATGATCGGATGTGAGAGGCGGGAAACAATGGCTAGTCGGAGCAAAAGCGTCGCTGAATGGTGTGCATGATCCACGAGGAGGCAAATAGAATGAGTGAGTGAGTATGTGAGTGAGCGAGAGATCTGTTTGGAGTTATGGTTGCAGGGGCGGTGACTGTCAGAAGTCTAGCCTTGACTGGACCACAACCAGTCACGCAACGCCGAAAACCCCAACAGGAACGATAATGCAGGAATTAAAAATCGGTCAACGATGCCATTACAATCGTCGTTAGAACAATGTCTGCTGCGGTCAGTGGATAATATCTCGAGGCAGCTACGCTTTGTGTCTCCAAAGTCCAACCGTTGCTGACAACGATCTCATGGTAACCCAATATTCAATTCCATTTGCCGATGATTCTTGACATTTCTAAGATTCCGTGTTCACAATTGCCACCTCTGGAGTTTTCGCAGCGTTTCTTCTTTTGCACCTGGTTCTTGCTAGTTGCAACTCTAGTAGACTTCTAGTTGCCTGCAGCTCGTCATTATCATCATCATCATCAGTTCCATCAGATGGGCCACAGTCCTAAAAAGTCTTGCCAGTGGATGTTGCAGGAGACATAGGAGCTAGCTTGTGGAGGTAACGGAACAAACTGGAGGGTAACGTCGACAAGTAGACGTTTCCCTGCACATCCGCTGTTGCTCGTCTGAACGATTCCTGAGCCCGCTGGCCGATAAGATGGCAGTGAGTGGCCTGCGTTGCACTGTGATTGTTCAATTGTGTTTCAGGTTGTTTTGTTATGATAGTTAGTTGCTGAATGCTTGGCACTGGTTGGTGGATTGTTGCATTGCTCTGTAGCTAGCGTGGAGAGACGTCGACTGGGCCAGGGTTTTGAGAGGCTTTAGAAGGGAAACCGGCATAGCAGAGAATCTGACTACAGCTGGGTTTGGGATTAAACGTCCGCAGGGTGATGCAAGTTGTGGGCGAGGTTGAGAGCTCCGTGACTGTGCATAAGCTGTTGGTCCGGGTTAACGGCATGAGCAGGCACCAGGTACGTGTACGAGAGGCCGAATACGGTAGAAACACGGTGGCATATGGCCGGAGGACGATGAGTTAAAATCGATGGTACTGGGTTTTGCAATTTGTTTCTAAATAGAGCGTTGCAATAATGTGTGTGTGTGTGTGAGGTGCAGCGTTGCATGATCTGGAGTAAATACAACAATTTATTGTGTAGCAGCGGCGGGGGAGATTGACCGCTAGCTTCCAAGTATACTCATTCCGACACCCCAGTGCGTGGTGGCACTGACATTGATCTTCAGAAACACAATTCCTGCCCTCGAAAATTCCTGACCAGGATATTCTTCGAATAATTTCCATTTTCGTGCATCTTCATTCGCAGAACTGCAGCAATTGATCTCAACATCTCTACACACGATTGTTACAACAACCAGTCTTGTAAGCCCTCCCTCGCTTCGAGTTGTCACCTCCAGGAGCCTTGATTTCAGGGGGTCGTGTTCCCTGCTTTATTTGCATGACTTGATCGTTGATATGGGACCCGTGACTTAAGAATAGTTTTGTTGGTATTTTTGGTTTCTTTTTCTTTTTCCTGGATTGTGATGCCCTCCGAAACATCACAGCTGAAACCTGGTTGAACATAAGGATTGAACTGTGTGATTCCAGAATTGTGTGGAGATGGCGGGCGGTGGTGTGGTGAGCTATCATGGTATGAAGGCGGATCAATATGGAGGGAAGGTAACTGTGTTCGTGGTCATGGCGTGCATCGTTGCTGCCAGTGGAGGTCTTCTCTTTGGCTATGACATCGGTATTTCAGGCGGTGTCACTGCCATGGACGACTTTTTGATCAAATTCTTCCCCCATGTCTACCGTAATAAACACTCCAACGACTTGCACGAGAGCCACTACTGCAAGTATGACGACCAAGGCTTGCAACTTTTCACCTCGTCACTCTACTTGGCTGGTCTGGTGGCGACCTTTTTCGCCTCCTATACCACCCGATTGCTTGGGCGCAAGGTCAGTATGCTAATCGCCGGCTTGGCGTTCTTGGCGGGGTCCATCTTCAATGCCGCTGCCGTGAATCTTGCCATGCTCATTATTGGTCGTCTTCTCCTTGGAGCTGGTGTTGGATTCGCAAATCAGGTAATAACCTCTGACGTTGTCTCTCCATACCTGAAATAAGCCCTTCCGTCAGTTTACAAAATCTCGTTCATTACTCGTCACAAACCTTCACTGTGGGGATATTCTAATACATCATTGCTTAATCATTGTGTCCTAAGTTCGTTTTCATGCGCACGAATTATTGTATAATGAAATGTTCACTTTTCAAGTCAGTATTTATACTACTCCATTACTATTCTGCTATATCAAGTTTCAGAACAGAGTGGAAGCCACTGCAACTACTTTCAGTTGGACTAGTCAATTTATGTTGACAGAATCCTTTGGTGACCTGGGTTGCACTGTGCAGTCGGTACCCCTGTATCTGTCGGAGATGGCGCCTGCTAGGCTCAGGGGAGGTCTCAACATCATGTTTCAGCTGGCAACCACCATCGGCATCCTAGCTGCTAGCCTCATCAATTACGGCACTGCCAAAGTTCATCCCTGGGGATGGCGTCTCTCTCTGGGCTTGGCTGCTGTACCTGCGGTCCTGCTCACGCTGGGTGGTCTCTTTTGCCCCGAAACCCCCAACAGTTTGATCGAGCGAGGCAAGACTGAGCAAGGCCGACACATCTTGACCAGGATCCGTGGCACGGATGACGTGAATGCCGAGTACGACGACATGGTGGAGGCCAGCGAGATTGCACAGAGAGTAAAGCACCCATTTCGAAACCTTCTGCAAAAGAGGAACAGGCCCCAGCTGGTGATGGCCATCGCCATTCCGTTTTTCCAGCAGGTCACGGGCATCAATGCCGTCATGTTCTACATCCCCGTGCTTTTCAACACAATCGGGTTCAGTACAAACGCATCCCTGTACTCAGCCGTCATCACGGGCGCCGTAAACGTGGTGGCCACACTGGTGTCGTTAGGTGTAGTGGACAAGTGGGGTCGGCGCGTCCTATTCCTGCAGGGGGGAATGCAGATGCTCATCAGCCAAGTGATCATCGGCATCATCCTGGCTCTGAAGTTCAGCGGAACAAACGAGCTGTCTAAGGGTGAGGCGATGGCCATTGTAATATTGGTGTGCATATATGTGGCCGCATTCGCGTGGTCCTGGGGTCCACTGGGTTGGCTGGTCCCCAGTGAGATCTTCCCCATCGAGACACGCTCTGCAGGTATGGCCATCACAGTCTGCGTGAACCTGATCTTCACATTCGTCATCGCGCAAGCGTTCTTGACGATATTGTGTCACTTCGAGTACGGAATCTTCCTGTTCTTTGCAGGGTGGGTGGTGATTATGACTGTCTTCATAGCATTGTTTTTGCCGGAAACCAAAGGGGTTCCGATCGAGGAGATGATCTACGTGTGGCGGCAGCATTGGTTTTGGAAGCGCATCGTCCCCGCTGACGACCTGCCTGTTCATGGTGAAAAGCCCAAGGTTGCTGATTAGCTAAGATCTTGGTTGGAACTGTTGTGCACCAGTTTGTGAGAGTTGCAATGGCTGGCTTGGAAGTTGAGTGAAGAACTTCACTCGACGTACTCATCGTCTTGCTCTGCGAAGTTTTCAATAGCAAGGGTAGTCTGCTGTGCAGTGTGTTGGCATTGAACTTCTGTAAAACTGGAGAATTAGATCTAATTACCGTTAAGCTGTTTGCAACCAAGGCGTGTTCGAATAGTTGGTTAGTCTAATCTGGACTCGCTGTAGTGATTCTCCGTTCAGATCCACAGCCCTGTTTTTAGGCTCTACATCTTGTTTACATTTCCAATCTCTTTAGTCATTGGTGATAGGCTTGTAACCCTCCTTAAGGTTTGTAAGAAGAATGTTAAATATCTAGACTCTTTAAAGAGAATTTTGTGTGCAAGCAGAGGGTTTCAGGTAGGATAAAGTGATAGTTGGGTTGGAATGGCTGTGAGGGTTTGTTATAGTTTGACATACTATGAATCTTTCATTTACTTAAGTATTGAATTACATGTTATTTGAATGTTTATTGTTGTAGATTGGAGTGCAAGTGTATTTGTTGATTTGGAATGTCTATATGCTAATGTTCCATGTTGAATGTGCTTGTAAGTCTAGTCTTTTAGAGATCCAGAGTGCTTGAAGAAGCTCAATAAAGTTTTTTTTGGAGAATTTAGAGTTCTAAGGGATTATTTTAAAAACTTGAAATTACAGACAAAGTGGTATAGATTATATTAAAATATATATTTAAAAATAACTTACAGCAATTTATTAAAAAAAAGGTTATGGTAAAAAAAAATCAGATTCTTTTAAATCTATCTTATAGTAGGAATTATAAATATTTTTGCAATAGTTTGATAAAATGTGTAGAAAAATACCAATCCTGTTAATAGAATTTAAATACTGCCTAAATCAAGCTATTTTTTTTAAATCAAGCATAGTAGCCCAAAAAGGTGAAAACAAGTTTTAATTTTATTTTAACAATCCATAAAACGTTCTTCTAAATGATGCAAATACACTATTATCATCTTAGTGTACTGTTAGTATCTGTAGAAGTAGTCAAAAATAAAGTAGCAAAGTAGGCTAGTGTTTCAAGACTCTCTTAAATATCTTCAAAATACTATGATTTCATAAAAATAGTATAATTTTAATTAAATTTATTTTTAATAAGGCTTAATAAAAAAAATTAATTGATTACCATAAGCCATATTTTATATATTTTATAAATCTTATTAAAATATTTATTTTTATTATTTTGATATGTTTAAAATTTTATTTTTTCTTATTTTTACTTTGAGAGAATTACTAATGCCACTATAAATTGACTATTGCTATCACAACTTGCCATCCACCACATGCCATTACAATTTTTCCTAATGTCACCACAAGCTGTCCTAAACTTGCATTGTGCACTACGATGTAATTTTTGGAACATTGTTAATGCACTCCACAATGGATAAAGTGCACATTCTTTAGGAAGGTGTATTTTAGTTGGTCCTATTTTTGTCAAATAATACTTATCAACCATTAGTAGGTTAGCCCTAAATCATGCCTATAATTCAAGAATTAATTTAGTCTTTATCTCTTTGATTCACTTGTAGAATAGAACTCCACATAGTCTTATTTACATAAGTCTTTCTTCATCTCAAGAAAATTTGTTAGATCTTTTTTATCTTTAGAAGATATCAAATATATTCTATTAATAATATTACAAATTCAAGGAATGTCCAAATCAATCATTGTGTAGTCTCCAATAGGAAAAGAGATCTTTGAACCATTACAAGAAACTTTTGATTTTCTTTATAAATTAAAAGAGTAAAAGTATCTTAGAACCTAGCTTTAATTTTAAGAAGGATATTAGAAAACATAGAGTACTTAAGGTAGAGTTGGTGATTCAACGGTTGGTGCTATTTTTGTCAAATAACACCTATCAAATAATAAAAAATTAGCTCAAAATTCAGGCTCATAATTCAAGAGTTAAATTTGGATTTATCCCTTTAAAACAAAGTTGATGCTCTTGTAGTACAAAGCTCTATGTAGTCTTAATCACACATGTCTACAAAAAATAATTAGATATAGAACAAATTATCTAGTTGCTTTTGATAGTAAATAAATTATCATTCTTAATAGAATCATCAAGAAATTTGACACCCTTACTAGTGACTAAAAAGATAATAGTCATAACAAAAAAGGCAAAGCAACAAAATGATTACAATGAGAAAAACAATATGATAAGAAAGACTTTTAGAAGTATCTTGAAGTATTGAAGCAAGAATAGGTAAATACCATGGTACTTAATTACATTCATGTAATCATAAAAGCTCTAAAAATCTTTAATAGCATATAGACAATAATATAAATTGTCATGCATTTTAGAGTGGTTTTGCTTGTAATTCTATTCAACAATGTAAAGTAGTTTTATGTGAAGTTGCAAGCCACAAGATCTCTTATTCTCCATCACAAAATCCCACCTTATTTACTAGTGTTGCTTCTTTTAAAGTCGGGAGCTCCAATTGTATCCAAGTAACCAATGTCTTTAGTGTTGTTAATCTGCAATTAAAATACTAAGTAGAATTACTATAAAAATTGCTACTAGCTACTCTAGTCAAGAGCTTGCATCCAATATCTAGAACTCACAACCATGTATATTGACTAAAGCTACAAAATGTAATATAATCAAACAAGTTGCTTCAATACACTTATCTCAAAAAATACTCTCTTCAATAGCTCACTTGATTGATGAGACCATAACAATAATCTAAACATATCATTGAATTACACAAGATAATCTTTGATACTTGCAATCTATAATATTAAAAATTAAAGAGGGAAATGAAGAAATTGATTTTTCTAGCAATAAAACCATGCTTAGAATAATACCTTTGCAAATGCACTTCGAATTGAAAAACACTTTTATGATTAAGAAAACTCAATTAGTCTTAGGAGCAATTTCCATTAGTCATTCTTGTTTAACATTATCTATTCTTCACTCATTAAATGTTGTTTGTGTCATTCTATGAGTGTTTTGTCTACTCTTACAATAATGAGATAATTTGCCAAATTAGGATTTGATTGTTGGCTTCTCTTCAATTCACAATACTTGCTTGAATGAATCAATGTGAACTAAAGCCTTGTCAATTTTGGTTGACAATCAAAATAACAATGAATTTGTATATCAAACTATGCAATCTACCAAGATGTCACTTTGTGGTTGTAGATGCTTAATTGATTGATGCAAATTTGTGTACCTACCTTCTATGTTTAAAAATCAAAAATGAATTTGTGTCCAAAGATTTCCTCTAATAGTATTTAAGTTGCAAGTATGCAATTCAATAGTGAATACAATATTGACAACAAAAGAAGTAAATTAATAAATAAATAAATAAATAATAAAAAGTAATAAGAATAAATAAATAAGTAATGGATTAAGCTGCTTGTGCTAATCTTTGAAGGATATGAAAACATCAAATTTAGTAACAATAGATTTAGTTACAATGTTTAGTTAATAAATGTTAAGTGTTTTTTAGGAAGGGGTATTTTATGTCAAATTGTTTTTTTAGAATTTATCTCAATTTTTAATATGGTTTTGGTTCATTTTTTATTTCTTTAGGATTTTTTTAAATTTAAATAGAAGAAAATTCTCTTTAATTTAATTAGTATTTTATATATACATATATAGACATGTACTTCATTTTTATTTTTTGAACATTATATTTAAGAAAACGTTTCTACCACATTGTCACACATAAACATCTCTTAAAACTTTTGACAGTCAAAATGGAAAAATTAATTCAATTCACTTCAATTCAATTATAATTCTAAAAACAGAGGCAACAAAATGGGAGAAATTGGTATAATAATAATAATAATAATTGATGTAAAATAATTCCATCCCCTTGAATTTGGATTTGTTTGATTTTTTTTATGGACAGAAATAGAAGATTATCAAAGGATAAATAAAAATTAAAGAGATGTTTCGTGACCAAAAATGTGTATTCTCATTGCGTGAAATACTTTGACATTTTTTAGTGTTAAAAAGCCCCAATTGACATTAAAGTTTCGTATTTCACAACCAGAAAAAATGAACAAACATGTAAAATAATAAGTATATTAACTAAATAGCATACACTGTATTAATGTCATTTAAGGTTTGATTGAATGGAAAGTATATCAAATAGATGCAAAATCTACTTTCCTTGATGAGTTGAAAATACGTACATGAAACGACTCAAAAATGACTTCCTGAAAGAAACTACCCTAGACTATCCAATTTGAAGACATCTTGGCATGAAGAATTTGGTAACTTTAAGAATGAAATGCATGATGAGAAATGTATTTTTTTTTTAGTAAAAAGCCTCACAAGAGGTGTTAGTTTACATTCTTCGAAACTCAGAAAAAGAAAAAAATAGAAGTAAATATCTGTTTATTTGAATCGTTTATGTAAACATTTTGATTATGTAGGCAAGTGATACAGAAAAGATGGAAGATTTCAAGGCTAAGCCTTGAAAAAAGTAAGAGGAGCAACTCTGCAGAGTCGCAGTTCTGTCCACTTTTTGCTACCAAATAACTACTAATCCCTACTTGAGAAGTGATCTTGCAAAATGCTCCTTGGCGGTGGCCAATGCTTGAGCGAGTGTCTGCACACATCGTACACAAAGGATTGATTCCAACCACCGACAGACTCGTAAACGGAAGTCGATATTAACAATCCTGAAGCTGCAAGCATCACAGAAACCAGAAGAGAGTTCTAACAGTACCTGTTCTGAAAGGGGAACATCCGCATCAGCACCCCGCATTGAAACTCTGCCGGCTATGACGTTGGCATCAGTCTCTAGAATGATGCTGCAATATGAGACATTTCAAAATACCAACGCATCAGATCCAAAAGCCTGAGTCACTGTAAGTACGTTGCGTAACAAGAGAACGTTTGAATGGGTCGCTCAACTTTGCCGAGATTACAAGTGGGGTCAACATGGCAGAACAAGTACATCTTCAATTCCGTTTCCTTTCAGAACTCACATAGATACGCAATATCATTCTATAAAATCATTCACAGGATTGAAGGCAGCAGAAGATATACCCGCCATCTATGATCTCATCAAGGCAGAGAAGGACGAGATCTAGGTTTTCCAGCACACTCTTTTTGTCGACGTTGTTTCTGCAACACACGTAATCCAATCGAAGTTACTGAAGGTCCAGGTGGCTGCCATCGTGTAGCTTATATTCAACATGAAACCATTGGGACTGACGAGAATCTGACATGCACTATAAATCAAGAGCGCGACGTATGGGAAGATAAATGCAGGTCGAGGCAAACGACATCCCGGAAATCAACCTGAGAAGTAAACCGACGGCGTCAAAGAACCCTTGCAGGACTGTTGCCACAATCAGTTCGTTCTCATCCTCACCTCCCGTGACATAGAAATGGAGGTCTGAGATGAACTTGTAGACCACAATATATCCATCAAACATTCCAATCTCAGCTGCAAAAAAATTATCATCGTATTATTCGCTATAGCGATTATCCAAATAGCTGAAAACAAGTTATTTATGGAACTTGGAGATCAACAATGTTTTATGAGAAAACAAATACACGATTAAACGTGTACCAGTACAATAGCACTATTGTAAAAGTTCGCACAAGTTTAGTATGCCATATGAGATGTAAAGCCGACAAGAGGACGTTACGATTGCTTTAAAACCTAATCCATGATATTTGCCTGGCCGCAGCATACAGAGGGTAACAACGCTTAGATCATACCTTCTGAGCGGGCAATCGAGCGTTGGGTTTTCGTGAACACGGATTTCTCATACGCCAATTTATCAGCAAGCTTAGGCCAGTCATCCGAGTAATACTTAACAGCTACGCGCTTCCCTTCCGAATCTAGAAGCAGAACATTCTTTATCAAAGGTGTAGAAACCTGCATCCAGAATCGCAATGTCATGATCCAATCATCAGAACCCTAAACCCTCTGTCTACCGACTCATCCTTCGCAACAGTACAAAGCCTCGATGCCCGTTCCCGAGGGAAATCAAAAAAATAAAATAAAAATAAAACCAAAACCAAAACCAATACCAAAATACCAAACAAAACAAGACTCCGCAGAAAAGAAGCGCAACCCACAAGTTGACCAAGATAAACAAAAACACAAATCCAAAGACACAAAAAAAACACTCACATCCATTTTAATAGCGTCGATCCGCAGCTCCTTCAACACCTCGCTTTCAAATGCGGCTTCCACCAGATCTAACCCAGACCCACTTTCCGGGGGACTTGCGAAGCCCGATTAGATATCACCAGAGCACCCCAGAAAAGGAACTACACCGGAAATCTGCTGCGGCGAGCAAAGTCCTCCGGATAGTGCAAGAAAAAAACACGAAGACCCCGTTGTCGAATCACGCTTGGAGCGAACGAGGCAAAAGTGAGGAAAAACGGACACAGCGACTAGAGGATGGTGATGACGTCCAGTGGATGAAAACCAGCGACGAGGAGGAGCAGGGAGGAGGAAGAAACGAGAAATCCAGTGGCCGAAAATATGGACGAACGACGAAAACTCCACAGCAGATCTCCTCAAAACGTCCGCACGTCCGCACGATTGAATTTTGCGGCGACCCAGTAAAATCCGAGGCTGGTAATGAGCTCCACTGCCGGCGATGGAGATGCGAAGAAGAGCACGCATTCGGGTCGCGGATTTTCCCACCTCGGGTTTTCAACTGGGTTGAACTAGTCTCGGTTGGAATCGCCACAACGTTGTGTGCGTGCGGTTTGATTGTGGGGTCGTCGAGGCTTCGCTTGCAGTAACAATTCCTGCATCGCGAGGAATCGAGTGTGTGTGTGTGTGAGTGTGTGTCCTCGAAGCGGATCGTCGACGACGGTGACGACGCCGATGCAACCAATCCTGCCCTCGTTTTTTTAGGGTTTCGTTCCTTGCTTCCCTTTCCACAATGCTCTCTAGGGAACTGAATTCTCTTCTACATCTTGCTTTTTCGTCCTTGTCGACTCTCAAGTCTTGGCGTTTTTTTCTTCTTCTTTTTCTTTTTTGAAGTTAAATTGATGTTTAGTATTTTGATTATTGTTACGTAATCGATTATCTGTAAAGGTCTTCTAGAGATTTATGAAGTTTATTAGTGGGAATTTTGTAAATGAGAGGAATGGGGGATGTGTTTTTATATTGATAGAAATTTTGTCCCTGTAATAAAATTAGAATTTTGTTTGATGAAGGTTGTGAAGGTTTTATGGTAGGTTATTATGGTATGGTCCTTGTGTTGTGTGGTGAGTTTGTTATTATTGATTATCAATATGGTGGACGTAAAAAACCACCATTTGCACAATGTGAAAAGGGTGAATGTTTTTGTACTTATTTAGACCTTCTTTTCTTGTGCTGTGTTTATTATTAAAACTTTATTGTTTCTTAACTCATCTACAGTGACAAACAAAACCGAGTACAAAATCTGAAGTGCCAACTTTCAAGAGCAATTACAGAAATTTCAATGATTGCTTTATAAATCTGAAAGTTACATGGAATAATACACATAGTCTTGTACACATGTACAAAGTTGCACATCAAATTGATAACTAAACATCCTTCTACAAAGTCAAATCAACAACTATGTCTTGTACTCAGTATTGTTCAAAGAAAATCTTCAAACTTCAATATTTAGTCCAATAACTTTTTGCTTTCAAAACAACTGAAATCCTTCTTGGCATACTTTTGTATAGTTTCTCACAATCTTTTGCATCAAAACTAGGGTAAATACTACAAACATTCTCCCACAATTCTTGAACACCTCTTGGCCTTGGAGTGACTTGGCTTAAACATTGTTTGAGAAGGGCCCAAAAATGTTCCATTGGATTCAAATCTGTAGATTGAGCTGGCCATCGAAGGAGCTGAATCGACAAATTGTCACGGACACAAAATACAGACTTGAAATCTAACAAGAAGTTCAAGAAGAAGTGGCAGAACTAGATTAAACAAATGAGTACAAGAACAATACCAGAAAGGTGAGCTAAAACTCCAAGAGATGTGTTGTCGAGACTGAAGAACTCTTCAGCCTCGACTCCTATATATACTACTGGCCTATGGTTCTAAGGAAGCGCATCAAGAAGCTTCCCAAGAACTATGAAGTTTCTCGAGCAACTACCCAAAAGCTAGGAAGCTTCTCAAGTAACTTCCTAGAATCTACTAGAATATTCTAAGAATCTTCTAGAGCCTTCTAAGGAAATCTTTAGAGAATCTTCAAAGAATCTTTAGGGAATCTTTGAAGAATATTCTAAGAGAATATTCAAGGAATCTTCTGGAAGTTTCTAGAGACTTCTTTCTAGAAGGTTCTAGAAACTTGTCTCTAGAAAGGTCTAAGGACTATGTCCCTAACATCACCTCCTCCTTTAGCTTCGAGGTCTCCGAGAAGCAATGTTATCGTCAGTCAATAGCAGCGCAAGAAAATGAAGATCTGTCGCATAACCTCTCCTATGAACTCCAATTGTTGTTCACGAGGCAAGTGATTCAATGGTCCTTGAAGCCAACGGTAATGGCCCACGCCTTCAACTTCTGACCAAGCATGAACCTCCGTGTCTTCATTCTGAAATTGTCCTACAAACACTCCTTCTGGCTGACCATTCTAGGCAGGCTCGACCTCAAATACAATCACCAGCGATCTGTTGCTCGGAATCCTTCGACGTCGTCGTGGTGCAGGCGGTTCTTCATCTCACGGTCGTCTTCGTGAGCTAGTTGCTTGAGATGACATGACAAGTGTAGTATCTTGGCTATCCATATTCAAAGGCTAAAACAATAAGAACAAACTTGGGCTACTAACAAAGTTCTACGCTATCTTGGAGAGAATGACTACATCAACTATGGATTTTGGTGGTGCTCTCTCCTCTTTTCTATTTTCTGGATGAGCAAGCTTCAGTAAGAAGCTATCGTCGAACCGGCTTGGGTTTCTTAGGATATCGTCGATGAAACTCCTGTACCTTTTGCGGTGCATTCGCAAGATTTTTGGCCGGCTCCCATGTTCGTTCATTAATATCGTAATCGCTCCAATGCACAAAGTATTCTAATTTACCCCGTCTTTGCCGTGAATCCAAGACCTTTTCCACCTCGTATTCTTCGTGGTTCTCTATTTCTATGCTAGGTGGTGGACATTGTACTCTTTCAGGAAAAGACGATTCTCGATAAGGCTCCAACAAAGAAACATGAAAGACAGGATGTACCTTCATTGTAGCTGGTAACTCCAAACGATACGCTACAGGATTGATCTGCTTCTGGATAACAAATGGTCCCAATCTCCGATAGTCCAATTTGTCACATGGCCGCTTGGTCTTAATATTTCGTCGAAGCAGCCAAACTTTGTCTCCAATCGTGAATTTAGGTGCCTGATTCCGAAATTTTTTCGCGGACGCCTTGTAAGATTCTTGGGCAGTTTGCAATTGAAGCTTCAATATAGTTTGAAGTTGCGAAAGCTCCTTCACCAATCCTTCAGCTGCCGGATTGTTAATCGTTGACGAACTCCATAAGTCAAGCTTCGGATGGTATCCATAATTAGAAAAGAATGGCGTTTGTTGAGTTGACGCATGAAAGGTGTTGTTATATGCAAACTCGGCTAGCGGTAGATATGCGGCCCAATCATCTTGTTGATAGTTGATGGTGCAACGTAAATATTGCTCTAAAACTTGATTCACTCGTTCTGTTTGGCCGTCCGTTTGAGGATGAAATGCTGAAGAAAGCTTGATATCCACCTTCAATATCTCAAAAAGAGATTTCCAAAACTTTGACACAAACTGGGTTCCTCGATCCGATACGATATCATCTGGTAGACCATGATATCGATACACATTATCAAGAAAGAGTCTTGCTGAGTCTTCGCTTGACGATGTCTTCTTGCAAGGGACAAAATGTGCCATCTTTGTAAGCCGATCTACGACAACAAAAATGCTGTCAAATGAATTCGATGGTGGTAGATCCGTAATAAAGTCCATGGAAACCGAAGACCATGGTCGGCGCAGAATAGGCAATGGCTGTAGAAGTCCATAAGGCCGATGTCGAGGGTTTTTGGATCTTGAACAAATGTCACAAGATACAACAAAATCTTTCACGTCCTTTCACATTTGAGACCACGAGAAATCGCGGGAAATAAGTTCTAAGGTCTTATTGAATCCAAAATGTCCCGCAGCTGGGAAGTCATGACGAGATTGAAGAACTCGGAGTCGTGTTGGCCCTTTTGGGATATACAACCGCTCTTCAAAATATACTAGATCTCCTTCCATCTTGAATTTATCATCACTAGCATGTTGCTTGATATCAAGGGCTAGAGAATCTTCAATGGTTGCGGCCCGTACCTGGTCGAGGAAGTCAGCATCAATTGGTACAATAGCTGCGTTGAGTCGAAATTTCTCTGGCTTCAACAATGTCGTGCACTGTTGATCAAATGCTGCATCTCCAGCCTTTGGCGCGAGATATGATCTCTTTAATAATGCATCGGACAACCCTTGTTGCTTCCCAGGCCGATAAGTAATAACAAAGTCGAACCTGGATAGCGACATACTCCACCGAGCTTGATGCCGATTCAAAACCCGAGCCGACATAAAATACTCCAAATTCTTGTGATCTGTATATACGGTCACTGGATGTGCAGTTCCTTCGAGAAAGTCGCGCCAGTCTTGTAAAGAATCTACTATAGCAAGGAGTTCCTTATCGTGGATCTCATAGTTGATCTCAGCAGCAGAGAATTTTCGAGAATAGAACGCAACTGGATGGAGCTTCTCATCTACGCCCATCTGCGAAAGTACAGCTCCCAAAGCAAAATCCGAAGCATCTGTCTCCAAATAAAAGGCCTTTGTAAAGTCCGGATGTACCAAGATTAGAGCTGTAGTAAATACCATCTTCAAATCTTGGAATGCTTTTTCTGCGATAGGTCCCCATTCGAGCTTGTCCTTGCACGTTAACCGAGTGAGGGGGGCAGCAACTTGAGAATAATTCTTGATGAAGATCCGATAGTAGTTAGTAAATCCAAGAAAACATTGTACGTCCCTAACCGTCTTCGGAACTTTCCAAGACATGATTGCTTCCACCTTCTTTGGATCCATCTTCAATCCTTCCGTAGTCGCGATGAATCCCAAAAACTCCATCTCAGTTTGGTGAAATAAGCACTTCTCCAATTTGGCATAGAGTCCTCGCTCCCGTAGTTTTTTGAGTACCAGACGAACGTGCTTCTCATGTTCTTCCTTGTTCTTAGAAAATATCAAAATATCATCTAGATAGATGACAACAAAATCGTCTAGATGCTCTCAAAAGATGTCATTCATCATGTGTTGAAAGACCCCTGGAGCATTAGTAAGACCAAATGGCATGACATTGTATTCAAAATGGCCATACCTTGTTCGAAAAGCTGTCTTCCATTCATCTCCTTCTTTGATTCGCACAAGGTTGTAAGCTCCCCTTAGGT